GGTGGTTTTTCCAAAGCTGTGTTCCTGGGTACGCCCAAGAACAATGAATGCTCTATGGTTCGAGTATGATGCTCTATGCTTCGACCAAAGTTTTAAGAGAGGGGATTCTCTTCATTTTCGCTTGCTCGGATCTAGTGATGAAGTGGTAAATAGCCAAACCGCATAGATATCCCCATTTCAAACAGACTCAAAGGAAAAACAGAGAAGCACCTGTTTTGCTCCTTAAATTCCTCTTTGGATGAATCCAATTGAAGGAATAAAGACTACGGACAAAACGGAAAAGTAACTCAACAGCGCCCATTTTAGGTTCGCTAAGATACTCACCTTCAGTTTTGGTGTGAACGTTCGACATGGAGGACACCAACTGGCAGAGAAGTAGAGACCGACCATCTGAAAGAGGATTCTTAAGAACAGTCACCTGAACCAAAAACAAAAGCGGTTATTAACTACATATTTCTGAATTCACTGACCTTTCCTTTAAGATATTCGCCAGCATCTACCTGACTTCCATCTTTCAGCTGAATTTTCACCCCAGATAACAATTCAGCCATGCCTCTTGAAAGACGAGTCGTCTAAAATAAAAAGAGTCTCATTTATATGCTGGAACTAATTCCTAAATAAAGACATTACACATAGATAGTTGAATGTCCCTATCAAGAATTCGGCATTTATGTTTAGTACTGATGCCCTTTGATTTCGCAATTTTCCCACCCACTTCGTAAAAAATACGCTAAACACTTAAGAATGCCCTTGGAAATAAAAAAAGTATTTTGGAAGTACCCATGTGAGCTACTTGACACCAAACTGCACTAAAAAGTGAATTCCAAATTCGAAAACGGCTACCCCTCCGACTGCCATATTGTTGAAACTTCCTATGGATGACATCCCGAAAAAGAACTTTTTACAGGACATGGTTGTTAGAATGAATACCACCGGAACATATAGTTAAGAGAGACAGTCCAAGACGGTAGTACAGTAAAAAGAAAAGCAGAGCATTCCAAAAAACCTTTGTAAATATGAAGAAAGCCGAATATAGACCTACTATTTAAGCAGACGATTTTCGCGCGTTTTTTACGATAGGTCGGATATTGGCCGGCGGTCACATTGGTAATGTCCTTTAGTAATACTTCTCACTTCAAGTAAAGGATTCTCTATAGTGACAGGGATGATCGGCCAAGAGAACTTTGTATGGACTGGATTAGATGTGTTAGATGTGTGATTGTTGGATTATGGACCTCTTCCAGAACGCTTTTTCTCAGAAGACATAGCAAAGCTTCAAAACGGTAGTTATGAAGTCCTAAACTTTAGACTTCAAAACTTCAAATCGCCGTATTTAAACTTTTAGCATTTAACACCCAACAGAAAAAACCCATATAAATACTGTCGAAGTAGCACATGCGACGGGAACACCAAAAGGATGGTGTCTCTAGTAGTGGGAAGCGGCTAAGTCCAGTCCCAAAAGAGAGAAGGCGAGGAGACGTGAGTGGGAAGAATTTTCCGGGAAACCAAAGTAATGGTAGAAGATACTATATGATCGAAAATACCTGCTTTAAAAATTTGGTTCCGCTTCGGGATTGTCAGCATATTGTTAGGGATTCACCTTGCGTTCACCTTTAGTTAGAATCGAAATGACGTCCAAATGAATAGCAATAGGTTCAATGGGTTCATAACATTTGCAGAAGTCAATATGGATGGTACACCCTACGCTTAAGACAACCTACAGTTACAGTCTATAAAAGGGATTATTTGTACATCGAACAGGCAATACCGGCACAGCAATAAAGCCGTTCCCTACGCCTAGGCCGAGCTTGAACTCAGGAGAATAATAAACTTCCCTAGCTCGACAATGAACTTCCTAAGCTAAGTTTCTGTACCTGTTGCCAAATCAGAGTAGCTCAGAAGATGCACAATTTTGGTGCACCAACGAAGGATGGAACCCAACAGCACACATAGCAGCTGGGCATCCGACCACTGAACCACTGATACCCTTTGCCTTGATTTCGCTATCATACCGAGACCAGTTGTAGTTCTGACTGGTAGACACCCAGAATGCTAGCAGAAAGCATGCTCAATTTCTTTCTGCTTGGCACTGCTTCAGTTTTTACTGTACCAGTCAGAACTACAACTGGTTCTAATCTTGATAGGGTTTGATAGTCACTTCTGGTTAGGCGTAAGAACAAGTATTTCCACCACATAATTAGGACTTTCACAAATCCATTCACCTTGTAGATAAGTAGATAGATAGATAGTAGATAGATAGTAGATATACCTCTACCGCTACTATGTTTACGTCGAAGAATACCCATACCATATATCTTTTATGGAATCACAATATATCACATAGAAGTTCAACGGGCACCAAATTTGGTCCAGCAGTGGACGTGAAGAGCTGAGAAGCGAGTGCTTCAATCCACCTTCAATGCTAATCCTGTGTAATGACCATGTTCATAACCACTTCATTTAAAGGCACAGTTCACGATAAAATGGTTTCTGAGATTTCCCTACAGTATGAATCCGAGGCTTCCCCTTATACCATACCTGCCATTATGAGGTCGAAAAACTTCATGAATAGGGCACAATAAGGGGCCAGAGATTGTGTCGTGTGAATGTTACATCCATCGTGGACGAGTTCCAACGGCTTCGTGGAGGCTGCACTATCTCAGTGACTCTCATGTAGGAAGTTCAAACAACTTGTCTTGTCCCATAGCGACATTGAAAGGCAGTTTCGTACAAGTTCGGCTTGATGTAGTCATCTCTTTATGGGAGCAAGTTAAATCTAGTCAAACACCCTTTACATGCCATTCCCTTCACGGTTGATCCCGAACAACCTCCACTTAAACTACATCTGAAAAGCCTCGAGGAAAGGCGTATGTTCCCACTTTGTTCGCCACCTATGTACTCCACTTCATCAACACTCCCGCTTTTAGACCTAAGAAGGGTACCTCAAAATTATCGTGAACCGCGCCTTTGAGATGTTGAGAGGCGGCGCTACTCTTATTGAGTAGTATATTTCTGAAGGAACTTATTTGCCAACCTATTTATTCTTTTACATATGTTGCTGTTATTGTTGATGTTGTCTTTCTGTGATCAAAGAAGCAGTTTCGACATTTCTGAACTTCGCTCTGTAGCCTGAGAAGACACTATTTGTCAAGCAGAAGTTCCCTTATCCTTGCGAGATTTGCGACAATTAAAAAGACACCAACACAATTAACTAGACTTTATTAGTACACAACAGGCGCACGGAATATCATCGACGTGACGTCGACGAGAGCGGGAGAGAGATCACGAAGTGAGAGACCGTTGGCGATGATAGACGGGACCAGAGGTCTAGAAACACCGTAGTAAGTTATTGTAGTGATTACTCTAAAAATCTTTAGTGATTGCAGAAAATGAGCACTTGGTTCGTGCCTACGTTTGAGATAATGTTATGTTTCAAGGTAATATTATAATTTGGTTTACAAAGTAATAAAGAGTGCGTATGTGGCCTATACAGTGACTTACGGTGGTCAGTCGATCTACAAGTCAGTGCTTTTATCCTCCCAGACGAGTCTGGTACCAATTATCCAACCCCGGAGGGACGGAAGGCGATTGTGGTTACGATTAACTGACCCCGGAGGGATGGGAGGCTTGGTTGGCCGATTCGAACCCCTGACCGTGCGTGTGAGATAGTGCGCCACTTTCCACTACACCGCCTCCGCTTCCACAAAGTAATAAATGCCCAAATAACGAATACATCATATCAGGCTTGTGCAGTGTAATGGGTATAATGGCTCCAATCAGGTAATCGGATATGGGAACCTGTACACGAATGGTGTTTCACGCTCGTCACATCCGCCACGTTTAGGAGTGCACAGAGCAAAAGTATGATAATTCGATTTTCAGTGGATAGTTACAGTAGCTGCAGCGAAACCACTGCTGATTGCATGTTTGCGATCGTGGGAACTCGATGAGAAGTTCTCTACCTCGGACAACTGAACCCACCCACGCTTGCGGCACATTCTTTGTCTGGGAGGCAGAACGAGTTATCTTGAACATGGCTCCTGCTAGAGATTACATGAGCCTACTTTAGATCATGTTATATTTTAATTTTTGGTTTTTCCGATTTCTTTTTCCAATTTTCCAAGGAATCGCGATAGCCAGTGGATGTGGAAGACCAAGACGTTTCTAAGTAATCGACCCTAGAAACTTGAAAAGCCCGACTTTTTCGAACGAATCGAGGACGATGCAACTTTATCTTTCTAGAGACCAGTACAGTGTATAATCAAAAAGCTCAACTCGAATTTTGATAATCGAGCTGTTCCCTTTCCACCAACAATTTGGACCTCGAAGTGTTTTGAAAGGAAAGCATAACTAACTGGCAAAGTGCACATTGGACCAGAGTGCGAAGAAACTCCAGACAATTCTATTTGGGTGACCAATTATTTTAATATCCTCATTCACGAAATAGATGATGTTTTTTGTTGAAATTGTTTAGCAAAAAAAGATTGGAAGGAGAAATTTCTGATATCCTACTAAATGACAGAAACTTTCAAATGTGTAGGGAAACATTTGAAATCGAGTAAAATCCAAATCTGCGCAGGAGATTCTGGAACTTACCACACACTCCTCCTGAACTTCGGTTTGAGGTTTTGTAACAGTTGACGGAGGTAGGCGTTTTGCCCAGAGAAAGCCAGCTGGTCGCGACGAAGCCTGAAATAACCATTGGCAAAAGGCCAGAGAAAGTTTTTATTATACAGCACCAAAACTCGGCTTAGTGATTCAGTTTGCTGCTGCTCGAGCCATGTGATGGTAGGATCTCAAGCTCATAGCCAGGGTTAGGAAAAAATTGCCTTCGCCGTGAATTCGAAATTTTTATTCGAATTATAGAAGTTCCCATTCTCCTTACGCTCTCCCCCTCCTCCCGTATGGGTGTCGGAAATTTAGCAATTGTTGTATGCTATCAGGTCTTATGCCGGCAGGAGAATGAGGTTCAACCTTTCTCAAAATAGGCAGGTTCCCGCGTGCAGTCCCCCTCTGTTCAGTTGGTTCGTAAGAAAGCTTTTACATCATCTAAACGATCGTCAGATGACGATAGAATGACATTCTCTCAGAAGCAGCAATTTCTCACTATCCTAGCTTTTAACACTTAAGCATCATGTCATTGTGCAGAAATGACATGGCATTTATAAATCAATAGTTTACGAGTTGGGATAAAAGTAATGTTTTTGCTCAAGAAATGTATCTCTGCAAATGCCTCTTTTATGCCAATGTCTTCCTCCTGCAGCGTAGGCCCAAACCGGCTATCCTCATCTCCCAGATACAGTACTACATACTCATAGGTGGCTTATTTATCCTTCGAGTACCCTGATAGGTGCTTCTAGTCAGGAACAAAAAGAAAACTGTTCAAGGGCCAGCTTAATTCAGAACCAATCGCCGTTAATCTTAGGGCTGATCCATCCGTGTACCCTGGAACTCATTTTTCTTACGAAAATTCTAGAGCGATATTTCTGGCGTTACTAATAAAACTCAAGTACACTGACACCGATAGGCACGCGTTTGAGTCATCATGACACTAAAAAGTCAGTGATCCTTGGGATTAGACCTGATATATCCTCTTTAGCCGACATTTTATAGATTCAAAAAAATGCAGCGCTCAAATTAGTCAAACTCTTACCTCGGTAGATAGAAAAAGTTTTCCAGATTACCGTAATCAGCCCCAGTATCGTCAATCGGTAATGCATGACATAATACCATAACAACGGCCACCACTAATATCACCAACACCGCTCTTAGTGACATCACAGCTAAATGGAAGATATATCGAGGCAGTTACCTCTGTTTCAGCTTTGAAAACGCGACCCACGAGTAAACAATAAACAACAAACAACGAGTAACAACGTAAAAAAGTGGTCAATAAATTATGCAAGGATTCGAGAAAAAGGACTCAGAAAATATATGGAATAATGTAGCGAGTAGCTAGAAACAAGTATAATAATCATCGAAGGAACGTCTGCAGGCGGGACTACCGGGCCATCGTATGAAATTCGCTGGTTCCGCGGATTGATTCTTTAAAAGAAGCACAAACATGTGTGCTTAGTCGACAACTCACCGTTTATTCAGGTTTTATGACCAATAATTCACTATGCGGCATTTATACTCCGCGTAATCCTGGCCACTTCCTGGCTAATTCGAGTTCGGATATCGCCTCCAAACCAATAAGCTTTTACCAGCTAGTAGCCTGTTGCTATTCATTGGTACTCGTTTACCAGTTAAGCCTCATACCCACTTTGTAATTGTCACTCTTGCATAGCTCCGTGATGCATTCATCGAGCTAAAATAAAAACGAAGTCACCCCAGGAAATGACATTTGTTTCAGTTGGGCCTACTCAAGTCCCCAGTGGAGATTATAGCACAAAGCTTCCAGGAAATGACATCATACAGATTGAGCATTCTTTACCCTCCACGTAGAGTTCTTTCGTGAACGAATAGACTGCCATTCGGCCTTTTGACGGATTGGCAATTTAGTTTGAATGAACTACTAGTTAAAACAAAGAGCACCCAAACGGCTATCTCTGAATTCTAAGGCATCGGTCTGTCCTTTGAAATAGAATCCCTAACGAGTGCAGGAAGGGGAAGTTCATCGCTGACATTCTGATTACGGTCATCATGAGACTTTCTATGTCTAAGTCATCATGAGGTAGAGAGAGCAGTTTGGATCGGATCTCATCTTCCCGTAAATGCGCTCGGATTTCTCTGACTCATTAAAAAACCGTTGATCACCACGACTAAAGCTGTCAAATTACCACGCTTCCTGATGAGGGCTCACTTATTGCCCCTTTCCATAAAGTAAACGCGAATATCTGGACCGACGGCTTGTGTGGTGGTCAGAGGAGCATTAAGACAATTTCAAAATCAAAAACCGCGTATGACTTTTTCATTCATGGCTTCACTAGCTGGAATTGCAGCTGTAAAAGAAGAAAACAGCAAACGATAAAAAAGACAAGACTTTTGCAAATAGATGCGAAAGCACTGGTTGAATCTTGGTTCCAGAATGATTGCTGAGTTCATGGCTTAGTTAAGAAAAGGTCTATCAACACTCATAATTCGTACTCTCTAAATAAATAACCGCCACATAATTCTATAACTTATTATGCTCTATATTCTATAACTTCTATAACTTATTTTTCTTTAAGAGCACCGACCATGGATGGGGCAAGGGTGGGTTAGTAGTAAGTCGTATTCCAACCTATAATGGGATCGAATCCTCTACGATGCAGCATCGGACTAATCGAATCTCTTGTACCTTCGAGCCTTGATACTAGCCTGGGAGGTTGTGAGCACTGGTTTGTGCAAATCAAGCCCTTGTAAGTAATTGCATGAGCAAGATACGCTTCCATACCCATCAAGAATTCGCATAGAAGTCGAATGCGACGGCGCATCCCAAAACGAAAGGATCACCACTGGAATCCACTCTAACTTGTAATCCCGATGATTGTATGACTAGAACCTTTTTCACTTCCACAGCCTATCGCCACCCCTCCCACCTTTACCGTCGCCTCCATACTCAATAGTGGAGAATAGAATTTGAAGAAAACCCTCTCAAATCGAAGGGTGCAATGTGGACGCACTTGGGAAGTTCAGACTTTTATCAACTGCTCTACTAGGGATTCCACTTACGCCATTGTAAGAAGGCCTTTGAGGGGCACTAAGATACACGCCTTCAGTTTTCCACAGGGATATTCCGAACGGATCTGATGGAACGCATGAGAAGGGCATCTTAAGAAAAATTACTCATTCTTCCTGCATTGGCAGTTTTTATACAATATAATGAAAAATGAAGAGATCTGTTCTTGGCTTTTTTTTCATGGAAGCAGGGACTTCCCTGAACGTCAGTCTATGACGAGGCACTAGAGGAAGCAATTCCAGCCTATGGCTACCCTTTGCACCTTGCAAAGAAAATTAGGTTTATATATCATCATCGGAGTTCAGAGCCAGGAGAAAAGCCATCGAACCTTGAGAAAAGTGAAAGCAGAGGTTTTATGGTCTCTTGCCTCAAAAAGTCTGTGAGTAAGAACTATCTCATGTAGCCGAGTCTAATAACTAGCCTCCAAATCGTGAAACATTCTGATGTCGCTCCGAAGTGGGAGTACGTAATGCTTACAAAAAACTTTATGAAGGACGAATCCCAAGTAAATGGAGGGTTGTGCTGCCGGAAGATTCTCACCGACGTTATAAACAACACGCTGAAGGAAACTATTGCACTGCTTTATAGAAGCCGTGAGGATTTTTAAGACTGAAGAGCTCAAGGGTGCTCAGAAGAATAAGGAAATTCGACGATTCCAATAATACTTAAGGCTCCCTCATTACAGACGAATATTAAATGCAAAGACAACATACATAGGTTGCGTGCCGTTAGGTCAGGACGCGTCATACATCCTCGTTCGCGGCGTGTACCTGACTGTGCACTCTTGAAAGGATTTTCACAGAGAGGGGCGTGGTAGTACCTCCAGTCGCTAACACTTGGCCTCTATGCACCTAGGATTATTCTATATTATATCGTATTACTATGTATCTACATTTACGCTGCAGGAAATAATCATATTGCAAAAGGGAACCGACAATATAGCAGATTGTAAAACGATACAAAAGAAAAAAGGTCCTAAACCTCGCCGAGCAAATCATCAAAATCCTGGATAGCCACCGAATCCTGGTACCTTTCTCCGATCCTACTTTTATATTCTTCATCTTTAGTTCACCAATTATAATCCTCACTTTTGTTTTGATTCTCAATTCCCACACCTACGCTACAGTAGACCTTGCATCTTCCAAGAAGCATCTAACAAAGAAGAAGCCGTGGGATAAAAAGGTTCGAAAACAATTTTGTAGGAAGATGATGTTCGGTCTTAACAATGAATCAAACATCATTGGTTCCGGGGATTGTTTTTTCATTTTATGATGTCAGGGGAATGATCTTATTTCTCACATCACAAAGGTTCAGTCAGGGGAGTTCGAGAAGGGTATCCTGGAAAGGAAAACTGATAGGAAATGTCCCCTTCGATTTTGCTTCAGTGAAATACATCAAGCAGAACTACTATATCGGGTTCATCAGAATTTTCTCTGGGGCCTATGTCTGGGACCTGAGAAATTAGAAAATTTTCTCTTCGACCTGGGCACCCATTCCAACAGATTTCATTCAAAAGGAGAAAAGGTAAAGGTTTTTAAAAACAAGCACAACTATTAGGACGAATCGCTAAGCTGAAAAGGTTCCTAAAGGGGACATTGACTACTTGAGAGAACTAGAATTACTCCGAAATGTTGATAGGATTTAATGATTTTTAGAAAAATATCTCTATAGAATTTTTTTCTGGCACTCACAAGCATACGCATGGTTGAGTCCAAAGCAGGGTGCAATTCATTAAGGCAAGAAGTAAGGTCCAAAAAACTTCAACGATCAGAATTCACTGCTGCTTCTTTCTAGACCAGAGAACCCTCGAACAATTAACTTGAGTTAATGTCCTTTGGTTATAAATACCTTCGAATGACTTCGGGCAAATAACGCGATCTCAAAAGCTCAGTTATCGATAATATTTTAAGAAAAAAGGGATACAAAAAGGGACAAAAGGGTACTTCTTAAAAAGAACTGTAGAATCTCTAAATGAAAAAAATTATCTAGCCACACGAAATTCAAAAGCCATTCATCAGCAAAACGTTGAGAGTTAGCGTCTGAGTAGAAGGATCCCCCCGAAGCAATTTCTCTTTTGCTCTAAATGAACATCATAGTAATTCTACAGAGTTTATAGAAAAAAAAACAAGTTGGGCTACTACTGTAATCCTCTATGGAGGAACCCTGAAACTTCAGATTATGCTTTTCCAAATGCAAGGTTACTCCAAAATTTTGTGATGAGCTGGCGGATAAGGCCCCATAAATCGGATTGATTGAGAACCGGGGCTTCGAAAAGCTATATAAGGAAAAAATGACAAAGCTAAAGGTTTTAGACTATGATGTAATCTATTTTGTCTACCCCTTCACATATCCACGTTGAGGAGGAAGACAAAGACAGTGAAAAAACCAAAAGAACAGTTCCAACAAAAGTATGAGAATAATTTGATTGAGATTTTCTATTTGGAAAATTTCTTGAAAATGTTGACGGAGAACTCAAGGGCTCAGTCTGCAAAGGCCTCAAAGGAGAACATTTTGGATCAGAAGGAAACAATGGAAAACAAAGGAGTCTGAGAGAAAGAACAAAATTGTTTAGCATATTGTTGTAAGGTTACTGAAATATGGGCATAACCTCAACTTTTGGCTGATTCGTGGGTGTAGGGATAAAGACCGCCCTGACCGCAAATTTTAATGGCTTTTGGATCCCGAATTGAAACGAGAATCAACATGAACTAGCCACGAAACACTCTGTCATTAGTCAGGTCCAGGGGATTTTCAGGTCAGGAGAACAGTCTTGGATCTTGCCCGCCCTTATGTGAGGATCAGTCTCAATTGGTTTTTCGANTTTTGCAGACGTTCCAGCTAGACAAGCTAAAATAGACCGACTATAGGTCAGAGAAAGCTTCCCAAGAAATGATGACTTCGGGCAAATAACGCGATCTTAAAAGCTCAGTTATCGATAATATTTTAAGAAAAAAGGG